TGAAGGTTGTTCTTCTTGTCAGTCTCTGTGGCCGGCATCTTCAGAGCACAGCGCTGTCCTCTGAAGACAACAGCCACAGAGACTGGCGAAACATTAGGAAGAACAACCTTCAGAACACGGCCAAAGAGCCCGAAAAACCTACAACAACGATTAGATCCCGGCCATGAAAGCCTTCACGAATGCATTAGCATAAACTTTTTAAATCCTTTTAAATCTGAGATTAAAATAAAAAAAGATTATAAAGACTCTAAAAGACGGAGAATGGATATTAATATTTTCCAGTATCCAGAGGTAATAGAAAAGATAAAGAAAGAATGGTTAGAATTTTGGACAATAAATGAAGCAGGAGATATGAAATTAGGTCTGTTGTGGGACATGATGAAAACAATTTCAAAAGGAATAACAATAAGGGAATCCTGTAAACTGAAAAAAAATTAAGGAGATAATGTGAAAAAACCTGGAAATTTGGAAAGCAGGGTTTTTTAACGAAAGCGATAGAAGGATATTGGCAGAAATTCAGGCAAAGAGAAAGGAACTAGAAAACTTGGAGACAGAAAAGGTCCAGAGAGATTTGATGAATATAGGGAGGAATTTTTGAACATTTAGCAATAAAAATTCAAAATTATTAACTAGAATGTGCAAAAATAGATTAAAAAACACAATTGGGGTAATTAAAGATAGAACAGGTAAGAGGTCTAATGTAATGAACGATAAATTGAAGATTTTTCAAGAATTTTGTCAATTATATAAACAATGTACTGAAAGAGAATATAGAAAACTATATAAATGAGAATTTAAAAACTAAATTATTGGTAATAGAAGAAGAGATTAAAAAAGAAGAAATTGCTGAAGATATTAATAAACTGAGAAATGGTAAAACACCAGGCCCTGATGGACTGGGTCCAGAATATTATAAATATTTTAGTTCTGCTTTGGCACCTAAGCTAAAAATATTTTATAATAAAATACTGGAAGGAGAGACAACATCACCGTCTTGGAAAAATTCATTAACAATTCTTATCCCAAAACTCAATAAGGATCTAACAGATCTGGGATCTTATAGGCCTATATCTCTAATAAATCAAGATGCTAAGATTTTTACTGCTATACTAGCAAATAGATTAAACAGATTTATAGCAAATTATATTAAAGAGGATCAATGTGATTTTATAAAGGGAAGACAAATGGATAATTTAACTAGGTGAGTTTTGAATATTATATGTGAAGTAGAAAAGGAAAAAACAAAGGCAACTGTTTTATCACCAGACATATTTAAGGCCTTTGATTGTGTGGAATGGCCAACATTAAAGCTGCTTATAAA